AAAAAAAACAGGAGCAAGTTGTTCCAAATCTCGTATTTGAACACTTGCTAAAAAACAAAAGTAGAATAAAAAGATAGACTAGCTTAATCCGGATCTTTTCTAGTTGTTCTGTCGCAAACCTTTTAACTGTAATCTCTTCCACTAGCTTTGATGCTGATAACATGAAGCTGGACTGGACTTTGATATGTAAACACTGTGGCAGAGCTAAATGTACACTGCAAAAACACTAAATCTGAACTATTTCTGCTCTAGTTTCATGAGCCAATATCTTGTACACTTGAAATAATACAAAATATATAAAAGGCTGTTTTAAGTCAATAATTCCTTAATATTGATGAAAAATCACTAGTTCCAATTGACAGATTATTCCATTTATTACATAGGGAAAATGTTTTAAGTGAAATAATCTGCCACTTTTTCATCAATATTAAAGAATTATTAACTTAAAGCAAGTTTCTATATCTTGCTGAAAAGTTAGTTGTAAGTCAGTTTTGTCTTATTTCAACTGTACTAAGATATTTGCACTAGAAAAAATACTTGGTGAGGTTTGGTGTTTTTGCAGTGTAAGACACAGACAGTGGAATGGAAAGAAGCAAACACTGCTCTCAGTTCAGGGTAAACACACCTCATTTTCATTTTTAAAAGATAAACTATCATTATGATAAATAAATATTCTATTTAAAATTGACCGATAATATTTCAATATATTGCCATCATATATTCTGATTTCCCCCCCCCCTTCTCATTAAGATAAAGATATCACTATATGTTTTTGGTTTGTGCTGTCATTCTAAATTATTACAAATAATTCTATATACCCGTGGAATGTTTTTTTTTTATTATTATTATTATTCGTCTAAAGATGGATTCCACCTTTAAAAATAAATTTTCTAAAGAGCTGGCAGACAACTAGATGGAGGACAGAGATGTACTGTGTGTATGACCCAAACGCGCGCGCACACACGCGCACACACACACACACACACATATATACCCTCTGATCTCCTCCTGGTACAAATGCTGACACTTGTTGGAATGACTCAGAAAACTTAACATGTATGTGTGCAAGTGTCATCCGTAGCAACTGCTAAAAGGTGCAGAAATTTAAAAGGCTGGAACGCTGCACAATGACGAGGAAAAGGCGGACTTTACAGTGGCCAAAATGCAGTGCTCTAAACTGACCCGTTCAAAGTATTTAGGTACTTTTAAACACAGTGTCTGTGGGTAAAACATTTACCCATACATAGGTGCATCTCGGTAAATCAGAACATAATCAGAAAGTTGTATTATTTTGGTAATCCAATTCAATACCCACTCGAGAATTTTTTTTTCCTTCCCCTCAACTTTCCATTGGCTGCAACACTGCTGAACAGCCAGTTTCTGCTGGAAACCGTTAAATCAGCAAGATTCCTCACACCTCAAAACATTTCTGTATTAAAAAGATACCTCTTAATTGGTCTTATGTAAAAATTTTAACTTCTGAGAGGCTAAATTATAGGTTTCCATAACAACTAAAAGAAAAGAAAAATACTCACTTTTCGTATAGACTCACATTTTAAACAGATTTACCAAAACAAAGGAACTTTTTCATGATCTCCGACGTATCGAGACGCACCTGAAACTGTGTAAAAACAACATAAGTGCAAAGTGTCAAAAAGCGATCAGGTTCATACTTACATTGTGCCATTAGCCCCTTTCTTGGTACAATCTAATGTACCCTTGCAGCATTTCTTTTATTTTCTTTTTTTATTATTATTATTACTTCCACAGCATCAGAGAATACTTGAAGCACCTGCCCCCACACACTGCAAAAAGGATAATGTAAAGTGTAACCATAAAAAGGTTGAAGCTGTGAAACGAGAACATAGACTTGTTATGGCACCACACGATCCGACATGGTCAAACAGAGGCGAGACGGGAACAGTCACTTTTCTTGGAGAACGTTTGTTTCACAGAGAAATTTTCTGTTAGCTTTTTTGGAAAATGTCGGACCCAAACTCTCGGCTCTCTTCTTCTCTCGGCTTCCCCGCGTTTCCAGTGCTTCAACGGACTTCTCGGATACAAAAAAAATCTAAACGGTCCGTGTTTTTTTTTTCTCTTCTTCCCCTCCCCCCCCCGTTTGTGCCCATATAGTTTTGCATCAAAAAATATGTTTTTGTTGATCCTTTTTCCATTTTTTTTTCTTTCTGGTTCGCTCCCATGGACTCTGTGAGGATCCAGAGCTTGAATCCTGGTGAAGCTACATGTGTTGGGCATCCATGATGTCCAGGTATTTGGCCTCAATGATATGAGGAAGCACGTTGTTCCTGGAAGCAGAACAGACAACATTCGTGTCACGTCTTATTTGTTACACCAGAACAAAGACTCAATGACTCTAAAAACCAGAGTATGGCATAAAGATGGGTTAGATTGGGACTAAATAAACAAAATAAACTGAGCAGATTCAATTACTGCCAATGAAAGGTAACCCGAACCACTGCTGCCTGAGCTGATCTTAAATCATTGTTTGTAAAGGAAGAGAGTCTAAAATTTCATTATTGTTCTTATGTACAAGGTTTCTATGTACACTGGGAAAAAAAAGAACAAGTAGATTTTTTTTATTTTCTTGATTTCTGGGAAAAAAATCTAATACTTAAACAGTGCTGTATTGTTTACATTATTTATATTTGAATTACATGTTTTATCTTCATTTTGCCACATTACACTATCCTTTTTTACATACCCAAAAGCTAATTGTTTTTGTACAGAATGCACAAACATACACATCAATAAAGGTGCAGTCCTTAAATTGGATCTGAATGCCAGGCGCCAAAATGGATTCTTTTTTTACTAAATGGAGAAAAATGTATCAAAATTCCCAACTTCTGCTTTAAAGACTCTTTATTGTATAACACTCCCAATTCTTTGATGGCAAAAATAATAGTTACAAATAGGTGAATGTTTTTCAAAGTGAGGGTCTATAGGAAGAGTGAGGGGTGTTACAGAAAGCTGAGAAAAAAATATGAATTGACAAAAATTTTTAATCAGATTTTTTAGTCATAATTGTTTTATCATAAAATGTAAGCTGTTTTTCAAATATTATAAACTACAGGTAAAAATAGATTATTAAAATCTGATGTGGAATGCTCTTCTTTCTGATTGGCTGCCATTCAAATTCATCAAGCTGCTTTGTTCCTCAAGCTAGCATAGCTAACATAGCTAGCAAGTGCAAAACGGACAAGAAAAAGACAGGAGCAACCCTGCTGCCACAAAAAAAAAAAAAAAACAAACAAAAAAAACCAAAAAAACAAGAACTCCTGGCTGACTAAACTCAGAAGATATAATTAGGCAGCATTTATGCTAAATGAATATAATAATTGTTGAGTAGTGAATAAAAGTGAACAGAAACATTCTAAAAGTTGGAGTTTCTTTGCATATCTTGTAGCATTGTCTGTGGGTTTGTAAAGAGAATCCCCGGCAGCAGAAGCTAGTGCTGTTTGGGCGGCCATAGCATGGAAGAGTTTAGCAACCTCTGGTCTGAGTTATACTAAATGCCAAATCTGTAAAATTACACTGTAACACACCGAATATTGAAAGCTAGTTTCAGTGTTTTGTTAGTGATTTAGCAAAACTACACACAGGATTTCTATTCAAGCTGTGCAAGGTCAATGTTTGCACTCAAAATGTTAAAAAAAACAACTAAATATTTTAGCCTGCAAAAGGCTGAATTTTGCTAAAAATGTAGACATAGCTTATGAATTAATGCCGATGACATTTCTATGCAACATAATTTGATCAACACATTAAATGTAGTGATTTAATTTGTAACGAGGCATTTAATCAGGAATGTGTGCTGCAGTGTACACAGGCAGCAACACTGTGACTAAACACATTTAGCAGATCACTCAGTAACATTTTATCATGTTCTAGCCAGAGGAATCAAAACCCCTTAGCAAACACAGATAACAGTTTCTGTCTCTGCAGTGCATACTCTAAGATTGAGCTTCCATTACAAGTGAGTGGAAAACATTTTTAATGATGAGAAGAAATACAACTTTCAGAGCAAATGTTTTAAATAATGCACCGTTTACTCCTCTACTAAAAACCCACCCAGCAAAGAATACTGAATCAATACTTTACAAGGGCTTTCACAGAGCTGTTTTTCTGTATTTCTGTTATCAGCTCCAGATCTGGTTTCTGATCTGCTCACAATTTGGCGACAGTAAAATAATGTGGAAAAGTTTTGGCACTTTCTTCATTTCATCAATCCAAATTATGTTAAGGGATTATGGAGTAGCTAGGGTGAAAATACAACATCAAATGTTCCAGATATTAGTCTAATTAATTAGGAGTAACCAAAATAAAAATATTTTTCACTAAACTGATACATTTCTTTCCTATAAGTTGATTTCTATTGACACTATTGCACATTTGCATTTTATCTCCATATTCAAAGATCTGCAGCTTTTACTAAATAATGCTCCAGCATCAGCTTCCTTCACTTCTAACACTTTAAGCTACTTCAACTGATCACCAGCTATAACCCGTTACCATGGATTTATGAACATGTCAAGAAATTCTGCCGCATAAACATCACTATTCTGAGACACGATGTAGATCGCTCCTATGCACCAGAGTAAACAAATTAAGAAAACTTAGATGTTGCCACAGTGGCTCAACACTGACATTAATTAATCTCATGTTCTGATTCAACAGCAGAACCTGTTTTCATTTATTTCATCAAATCATTTTCGGGACACTCAGTTTAATCACAAAGTTTGATCTGTGCGAACGGTTGACTGTTCAATAATGAATACTACCGTCTACGGATCGATTTAAAGTTTCACAAATCTGGAACAAACTTCTGGAAAATTGTAAAACAGCTGAAACACTGAGTTTCTTTAAATCTTGACTAGAAACCCACCTCTTTATTTGCTTTTGTACCATAATAAATGAAACTCTAAGCAACATTTCTGATGCAAAATGTAATGTTTCCATTGCTGAGTTTTGGGTTTTTATGATGTCAGACACTTTAAACTGCCTTGTTTCTGATAAGTGCTGTAAAGATAAACTTGATTGATTGGCAAAATCATAAGATGAATAAAGAGAAAGCAAGACTAATAGAAAAGTTGTTTAGTGAATAATTGATTCCAGCTTCTGTAGAGAAGTCTGTTTGGATGGGTAGTCTGAGATAACAGTGCTGCGACTGTGACACAGACTTCTTCCTTAAGTTCTTAATTGTCTCAGGTCCATGATGTAAAAGTCGGATAAAATGTGACATGAGGGTTCAGACTGCAGATCTTTGAAAACAGTCAAATACGTAACTGATTTAGCTTCACGTATGGAAATGGCTCAAATCGTATTTTTCTTGCTGGTGTGAAAAGATCAGATCAGACTGCGGTGAAAAGTTGTGTATGGTCAGCATTCACCTGGTGTGTGAATGTAGCCTTAGAATCTCTGAACACGCAATTTTAGATCAACCACCATACGGGGCAAGGTGAGGAGTTCATGTCCTCAGAGGATCCAGAGATAACATTTCTTGGTTCAAAATTCAAACCTTAAAAAAAAAAAAAAGCTAAAATTTTAGTTCTCAAAAAAATTATACAGTTAGAGAGATGAGAGATTTCACTTTACACCAAAGAGATATCGTACAAGTTCGCCACAAAGGTTACATTTCCACCAAGGCGCAGAATTGCAGATGAACTGAAACGGTGTGAACGTCCTCGCACACAAACACCTGAATGTCAAAATGGAGAAAATGGATTTCCAAGCTTCCCCATACGTACCTAATTGGGATTAGGAGGATCATGACCAGAGGGAAGATCATTTTCATGTACGGTATTGGGTACATGCCAAATGTGCACAGCACCAGCAGCTGCATCATCTGCAGGAAGGTGAAGTAGTGGATCTTCCTCTGGGGCACTTTGCGAATGTAGTGGGTAGGTGGGTAAGACGTCTGTGGGGGGTGAGAGGATAAAAGCCGATTAAAATACAATCTCCCCCTGTAGCTGTGTTTCTACTGCAGTCTTAAGGAAATGATTACAGGCAGTGGACAGCCTACGCACCTCTGAGATTTGCACTTTTAAGTTCCAGTTTCAGATGACAACTTCTGTTAGCTTTCAGTAGCGTGAACTTGCCTAAACTATGTTTGCAAACTTGGTTGCTACTATGAAACATTTTGGAAATTCTTATCACAAAACATAACCATGGATCATGAGTATTAAGAGCTTGTACTTATAAATCAGTTTCAATGTCTGGATTTATCAGTTTTCAGGTGTTTGAGGTTGTTTTCATGCCTGACAGCCCTGTAAACTGTTTGTTTGGGGAGCAAAATTGCAACATGTGTTACATTTTCAGCTGCTGTTTATATTTCTGTCATTGTCAGTATTACTGAGGTTTTTAAAATTAAGTCTTAAGAAAAAAAGGACATGTAAGGTGCTGTTTTCCCCCCCCCTAGTAAACAGCATGCAAGACAGCGAGAGAGAGCAAAACGAGAGAGAAAGGCTGGCTGGAGTACAGCAAAGTTGCTCTGATGCATCTTTTTCAGTTTTCAACATCTGCTACATAGAAATGTCTTGAATATCTCACAGTTAAAGGAGAAGATCTTTTAAAGAAATACCCTCTCATCGCTCAGAAAGAGAAATCAGAAAAAGCAAAATTGATATCCACTGGTCACAACTTGTGATGGTTGCATCTGGAATTAAAATATCCTGGTGTCTTAAACTGTAAAATAAGAATGAATAATATGGGAAATACACATCTAATGTACAGATTTTTCATTGCACACACTATCTTTACATCAGTAACAGTATTTTTAAAATGCAACTTTTACTGTCTGGGTGTTTATAAGCTCCAGATTTTTCTTCCAGGAACATGCAGTTCCTGTTGCTACCATTTGGGGGCAGCAGCATGTAAAGCATGGATTGAAAGGGTAAGCCTTGCTTTATCTCCTCACTGTAGAAGAGGCAAGGTTAAACCGGACACTGGGGATAAGAGACACACGGAAAATAAAGGAGATTCCTGCAGGTTTCTTTTGACAAAACTATTTAGTGGATATAAAATTTAATATTTTCAACTGATTGTGCAGGATCTTTACTGCATTTTAATGAAGCTGAGATTAAACAAAAACATTAGTTTGGTTCCTTTTTAAATTTTATTTTGCAATTCCTTAAACCAAACCCTCAAAAACAACACAAACAACAAATAAATAAAGATGTTAGTGGATGAGAGGTGACTCTTGTGCTGGGCATCTAGTCAACTGTTTGATCTGCTGAGTCCCACAGCCAACATATGGGCACACACACCAACACACACACGCATACACACTCTCGCCCAGCACCCTGGCTCACCTGCTCCTTCAGGAGGAGAGCCATGCGGTCGCACATCTGGTTTCCGTCGATGGAGGTGAGGGCGATGTAGAGGAAGAGACCGTACAGGACGGGTTTGGGGATCCACTGCAGCGGAACGGGCAGCAGCAGCAGAGACACGCCGATGAAGATATTGGCAGCCAGAGACGTCAGCCGGGTCTCCTTCACCTGGACGATGCTGAGGAGGAACAAGATGACACACTCTATGAAAGAACGAAGCATTTCTGAAAAATCATCTCTGGCAAAACGACAGAATTTGTTTCTGGGGATTTTCCCAATCAGTTTTATTGCAGGTTTTGCAGCGGTACAATTCAGACTTTCCTAAACATCAGGATTTAATAAGCAGAGAGAGGATATGAATGAGACGTTTTTGCTTTTGTTTGAAAAAGTAGATTTTGTTATGATGACAAAACAGGATTTTATAATTGATTAGAGATGCAAATCGTTCGGTAGCTGCATTTGCGGCTGACCACATAATTGTGCAATTTGACACGTTGGAAATAAAATTTCTTAATGGAAACACAGAAATAAAAATAAAAAACTCATTTTTTGACAAAAAGTTTTGACAATAGGATGAGGTGTTTTTTTTTTTTTTTCATCCGAATTGAAATTGTTTTATTTTGCAAAACTGCAATGGAAATGCTTTTTATTGAATAATGAGTCTCATGATCAACAGCCGGATGCTGCCGCTGGCGCACACCAAGAAGAAGAAAACGACAGGAAGTCGTTGGTCGATAATGATGGGGTCATGTGTTTTTTAGTGACTTATTGTGTGAACAAACTTATTCACACGTGATTTTGTTTTGCACACATTTGCAATGGAAATGCAGTCAAGCAATTTGATTCAATTCTAATTTTTAGGGTCAAATTCAAAACCAATTTTTCCATCTTGAGATTCGGATTAAATAAAATGAAAAAGGAAAAGACTGTATAACTAATAGGACATTTATTTAAAGCAATTCCATAAAGTTCCACACTGTATCAAATTTGTATTTAAACAAAAAATTGGTTTATGCACAAAATTCTGTAATACCATTAATTAGTTAGCTTAGCTGCCTGGCTTATTCCTAAATAAATAAATTAATAAAAAAAAAAAAAATATTTGAAATAATAATTAACAGTGGACGCGTAATGTGATACGTAGCTTACTTGCAAATAGAAGCGGCAATGACGTACAACTACAGTGCATTTTAAAATTTATTTTTGAGCATTTTGAATCAATTCCTTGTTTCCAGAACTAGGAAATGTGATCAAATGTTTTTTCTGTTCCATAAATAATGAACTGATGTGCTACTTTAAGTGACAGCACCTTTTCTGAATATATCATTACAAACAGGTATCATCTCTTTAATTTAAACGCATGCCAAAAATGATTGAAAACGGAAAAGCTATGTGAGGAAAAACTCATAGTTTAAAAGTACTTAGACTCAGTAAAATGTGAAATATTTGTTTTCATTGGATGACATTTTTATTCTTATCTCATATTCTTGAGGAGGAATTTTCTGTCTCTGGACCAACGTGATTACTTTTTGAAAAGCTGCAACATGCTGCCATTTTCTCTTGTTGTTTTTGCTGAGAACAGGTTTCCTATTCAAAACGCCATTTCAATGCCAGTTCGTTAATGCCACCAAATGATAAGATCACAAAACGTGTTCTTTAGTTATTCCTGTTTTATCTACTTATTTATCATTTCATCACTTCTAACCAAAATATCTATGTAACTGTAGATTGTTTAAAACAAGACAGATTATAAAAAAGAAGGGGGAAAAATCAGGAAATAAGAAAACAGTATTCTAATCCACACTACGTTAAACAATTCTATGTTTTTGTTTTTGTTGCCATTTGTTCTCTTTGCTTGTGTAATGGGTTATTTTGTAGGTCAATACCTCCGTTTTCTAGTCTGTAATGTTTATTTTCCATGCACTAATTGGTGAATAATAATAAAAAAATGAAATGAACGTGCTGTATCAGATTTGCTGTGTGATTTTTTTTTTATTGACTTCTTGTTTTCTGTTTCCGTCTCTGAGCAGTTCTGCATGGCCTTCACATTGTAGAACATTTTCTGGAATGTCCACTTCCAATGTTTCCAACTTGTGGACGATTTTTACTGTGGAATGGTGGATTCGGATAGTTAGGAAGGTCAAGGTCACTGTTGATATTCTTCTTCTTTGGTATTAACACTATTTACATACTAGATAGAAAAGTCTGCAACCTTTACGATGAAAAAACCCCCAAAAATCATTTCTTTCTTCAGTCCAGTGAAATAAAATTCGTTTTAATGTCATATGAATTTGATAAAAAAAGACAAATTATATAAGTTGATAAATGTCTACTATCAAAAATTTGATGCACTTTTTTTTTTAAAGAAATGCCATCTTATTTCAATTTTTGTGTTTTAAATCAAAGAAAAAACTTAAAAGTTTTCCCCAAAAGAACATAGATACATTTTCTTCCGAGGAAAATAGTGAAAGAAAGTAGAAGAAAGTGGATAATTTTCAACTTAAAGACAAGAAAAATCCATCTAAAATAATATCACTGGTATGTGTTATTCTGTTGTGGGAACTCAATACAAACACGCCATGAAGAAAAAAAAAAAAAAAAGGAAGAACTACCAAAACATGATGATGTTATAGCTATATTTGAAAGCATCAGTTGTTTCTTTATCATTTTCAGCAGAAGTGCTAAAGAATCATAGTGGAAGATTCAAAAAGACACTACGACCTTTACAGACTTGGTCACAGCTGTGGATCATCAGTCAAGTTCATTTGACTGCTACTCTTAAAGCTGCAGTATGTAACTTTTATTAAAAAAAATATGTTTTCTACACATTTGCTAAAACTGTCACCATGTTGTGAAAAACAGATAATCTGTGAAAAGATCGATCTCGTCCACATCCTCCCTGAGCTGCTACTGTCTGAAGAAATGCACCAAAAACAATATGAACCAATGAGAGCCAGAAGGAGGGGCTTAGTGCTGTCAATCATTCTCATGTACTTGCTGCTAAATGTACTAATGGGAAAAATCATTTACGTGCATACATCAGCGGCCATGCTAACTAACATTAGCATTCATGATAGACTATGCTAGCTGCAGGGGAGACGCAGTGCCACATGGAAGGTGAATGACAGTGCTAAGACCCGCCTCCTGGCTCTGATTGGTTGTTTCTAAACAGCAGAGGAAATCAATTTTTCACAGATTATCTGTTTCATCCCATACTTGATATGGTGACAATTTCAAGAAATACGTAAAATACATATTTTTTAAAAATAAAAGTTACACAGTGCCACTTTAAATCATGCTACAAACAACTGTGTCTCTAGCTTTTCCTAACATGTTTTCATTTTTTGTAAATTTGACAGATTGTTATTTTTCTTAGAACTGAAGATGATATAATTTCCATCCACCATGATAACTTAAAAGAACTTTTCTAAACGGACTAGAAGCGACTTAACACATCCTCATAAATAGAGACTGGAGAATTTAAAGTATTCATTTTACACAGAGACATGCCATCAAAAATACCAAATTGCATACTTTGTCCACAGAAAAAAAACTAAAACCCTTGATTACATCTTCTGTCCTCACACAAAAAGTCTTCATTTATCACACTCTGCTGCTTTATTAATCCTGATATGCAAAGTATAATCTCGCCTGGCTGTGGATGAAATGCTCAACTTAATCCTCTCATCTTTTAGAAACTCCCTCTCAGCTCATCCGTCCTCAAAGGAAAACTGTTAGTTCCATGCTAATCATGCAATCAAGAAAGAGCCTGCGATTAAAAAAAAAAATCCCTGTCAGCACACGCTCTGAAGATGAACTTTCAATGCCTCCGTTTGATCGCGGTCGGTGGCGAGAGGGAGGGCGGACTCACGTCTCGTAGAGGTGCCCCCCCTCCACACGCTGCTCCACGAAAGCCAGCTGGCGCACGTGGAGGGTGGAGTGGGGGAAGGCGGCGTGCATCCAGGGCAACCCCAGCACCGACATCAGGATGTTAATAAGGCCGGAGAGCATCAGGTCCCAGTGATACGCCGTGCCCTTCAGCAACCTGGGGTTAGGGAGACAGAGAGAGAGGCGACACGTCACGCTCAAACAGGAAACAAAGGAAGCAGTGTGAACGGAGACAAAGAGGATATGTAATTAAAAGCAAAGAAAAACACACAAACGGAGCGAGCGTACTCCTCCGTCTCATTCGTCATGCAAGCAAAAATACAAATCCATTATTTATATTCTTTCATACTGTCGCGGAAAGCAGCAACGTAAATCAATAACATTGACACGCTATAAGAAAGAGTGAGGCTGCGTGGAACATTGTGTACTCATGTCAGAGCTGCAACATTTAAGTAAGTCTGTGTGTTTTAGGGGGAACGGCAACAGGCTGAGCTGTATGAGGGAAGCCCTGTGAATGATGAACGCTGCAGACCATATCCACACATCCTGTTGACGTGTCCTTCAGTAGGACCCAGTGGATGCAATGAATGAAGGAGGATGGAAACTTCAAAGGACAGTGATGAGTCTCACTTGGTGAATGAAAGCTTTATGAACGAAAAGGAAATGAATATGCATAATTCTGGATCCAATCTTCCTATCCGAACTGGTAAAGTTAAGTTTACCGGCAGAGACCGGTCTTCTAGTTAAATTCCTTAAATGATCAATATGGTTGAGGTCACGACTGTTCCAAAAGCTGAGTGATTTCTCTAAATAAAAACCTGACCTGGTTGAGGAAAATGGATGTCACTTTTGGATTCAGTGGCACAAAATAGTGCTAATTCATTTGAAAAAACAAAATAGACAACTTCCAAAACATATTTTTTTGTAACCCAGGGTTACTATCGAAAATAATGTGCTACTTATCCACATGAAGATATATACTCTTCATGTGGATAAGAACTAGAGGTTCTTCCGTCAGCGTGTTGGCACCCACCTGTTCTCTGGAGCATTGGTAAGTGAAACAACAATGTTCTGGTCGATGAAGATGAGGAGAGCCAGGAGGAAGCCGAGTCCCATGGCGCTGACAACGTTCATGGCCGACAGCCGCTCGAACGGAGCCACGTTGAAGATCGGCCGATTGTGAACCTTAAACACTGGAACTGGATGAAGTGACAACCAGAAGGAGAAAAATGGCAGCAGATGAGATTGGAAATGATTCGCCATCCTCATATGAAGTGTTATACAAACATCATAAGCATCTCATAAAAAGCTTCCTTAATTTGCTAATATTGTGGATTTGCTATATTTTACTGATGTGATGATCCACATTTTCAATTGTTTTTAATCCTTTGAAGAGTTTCTGGATTTCATTTTTTAAATGCCTCGTATCTAATTTGGTGCACTGCTCTGATGAATACTGCTGGATTAAATGTAGCTGGTTAGATTTAGAAAATGACAAGACAATAATTGGTCTATTATGCTATGACTTATTGTCTCTGGAGGTACAGAACAGAAAATTGTCCGGGCACTTAAATTTAAATTCATTCGGGGTTTGGCAGTCATCTTTGTTCTGACCCCCAGAGAACAGCTGCTGCCTTGGCAACAATAGAGGCTAAAAATGATGCCAAACAACAGAGGAAAAAAAAAAAAAAATGAAAAAAAAAAATGAAAATGGCCAATGTGTTTTGCCTGGTGCCTTTATTAAAGAGCATAAAGCGATAATAAGGGCAGCAAATAAAAGGGTTCCATCGCAAACGAGGCTGTTTCAGATAAAAAAAAACAGGTTTTACCTTTTAGCAGCTTTAGCTGAACTGGAATAAAAATAAAAATAAAAATGATCCCCAAACTCGTATCAAAACGAGAGGTCACAATTTAATCCTTTCATCAGAAGTAAGGATGTCAGCTGTATTTTAATAGTACAAGTTTTAAAAAACAATTGATGAGTAAAATTGAAGAAATTAAAAAGAAAAATAAACACCTCCAAAGGATGTCAGATATATCTTAAAGGGGCAGTATTATGTGTTTTTCAGGCACATAGCGCCATTTTACAACACAATCAGGTAACTATGTTGCCTGTTGTTAGAAAAATATATCAAATATGATCTAAAATAAATTTGTCCTCGATATTCAATGCCTTGAAATTGGACCTCTGTCTCTTTAAAAACTCCTGCTTTTTCCAAAACTCTGCCTGCAAGAGGTCATCACAACATGGCTCCTCTGTGAACCCTTTAATGTGAACTCCTGAGAAGAAGCTCATAATGAGCTCAGCTGATGCTCAGTCCCACCAGGTGTTTGCTAATTGCTGCTGGCTAGTCTGAAGGAGCTGAGCAGAAGAACTCCTCTGTGATGCGGAAGCTTGGAAACCGCAGTTCCCAGGAGGACCCATGTCCTCGAAGGCGGGGCTAGGTCCATCCAGGCATTTTGCACAAGTGAATGGTTGCCACAGAGATGAAAGGATTTCTCAAACATGCATCAGAAAATCAAAGCAACCCTCCATGATTGGTTTTGATGAAGGAATGTCATTATAACATGATTTACAGCTTGAAAAAGTCAATTTTACATAATGCTGTTCCTTTAATAGAAGGTTTAAATAATTTATTAATAAAATGTTAGACATTAAAAAGAAAAGAAATGGGTAAAATCAAGTCCTTCATAAACTACAACAATTCCAGATTTGTTAGTCAGTAGAAGGAATGAAAGTCTTCCTGTTGCGGCGGGTGAAGAACCGTATCGTCCGTTAGCCATAAATCGCAGGGATGGCGGTTGACAATGTTGATGGTAAAGTCCCTGACTACGCCTGACGGAACATCCTTGACCAAGATGATGAACTCTGCTCAATGGAGGTCAACACCTTGGAAAGAGCCTTTCCTAGTAACAATGTATTGATGTGTGTAACGAGGTGTGTGTGTCTCATATTAGAAACGCACTTTAAATGACGAAAACTTTACGCTGCAGCCGGTGTTCTGCCATCTACTGCAGATTCCCCAGGATTTGGATTTGTCAGGGTAGGTAGCAGCCAGGTGTTGCCAATTAAAGCTCTTGATTAACTGAACTCAGCAGGTGGGAGTGCCGCTATACAAGCAGCAGGTTTGGCAGTTTGCTGGTCTTGAGGAGAGGAACTTTTTTTATGGCAAGAACCACTGTGGGTAGGCCATTAAAAAGGATCTTGATGTGTTGGTTGGATGATGATGATTGGCACAGGTGCATGTTTCTATTTGCATCCTGTTCTTTAGCTGGTAGTTTCCTGAGGGCCAATAGAAACAACTGACATGGGGAAAAAACGGTCAGTGACGCTTCCTTCTTGCGTCGAGTGTGTTCATGCCTCGTATTCTGACTTATTTTGGACAAGGAGCTCCAAAACACAGCAACTTTTTTTTTAACTTTCCAAACCGCTTTTCTGATTTCAAAATCCATACATTCAGAGCTAAAGAGCTAACTCATCAACTTTTATCCACATGAATTACTTGGATGGCAAATGTACAATCATAAAACTGATTACCAGTGATGAAGAAAGAAATTGTTTCCTTTTTGTACTTGAAATGTTTAAGGTCCTCTGCAACACTTCTGATGGAAGGCCTGAGGAACCACGATAACGATACTGCGGTTGATAAGGGAGCATTTAGGTACTTACTGGAGTTTAAAAAAAAGGATTACTTTCTGACAGACCACAGAGATCAGAAATCTATAGACCTACCAACTAAGGTCAGTGGACACAGTGCATTGATTTTCTGTTGGCAGTGATGAAGTGACAGCTGAGATTAGGTTATCTAAAGTAAAGGAATACCTTCCTCCACTGCAGGTGTGCTCACGTTGAGTCACTCATCAATCAAACACTAAGCTCTAACTGCACATTTAAATCTGGGTTTCTGCAGGTTTAACCAATTCAGATTTAAGACTTTAGGAGGTGAAATTTAAGACCCATATGATGTCAGAAATGTGCAAAACAAACAGCCTTAACCACCGTAGTGCCAAGTTATTTCGCACAGAAATGAAGGTAGCATTGTACAGGTTTGCAACAGGAGTGATCCAATGGCGAAGATTAACGTCGCCCAGCTAACTGCTGATAAATTTGCACTTAAACCATAAAAGATGCAAAAAAAAAAAAATAAATAAATAAATAAAATAAAATTAAATAAAATTTAAGCTAGCTTTCTTGTTTTTATTATTTCTCCATTTCCACTGCAGGAACCAGAATCAATGCTTCCTGCTAATATAGGCCTTTGCTAGCTAGCAAGGGTACATTAGCAGCTAGTTACCAGTAGCTTTACTTCCCTCATATTACACAATGATGAAATGACTTAAAGGCAACTCAAATGTTTGCCTGACACAAAAATACCACAAGAAAAGAAACTACAAAGGATATACAAGATTAAATAGTCCTGTCACAAAATGTATGACTTCTAAAGAATACATTTAAGGCCAACTTATATTTTTTAAATGGAATCAAAACATTTTAAAGCCTTAATTTTACATACATGAATTTAAAACTGTTTAGGGATGCACAGATACTCTGTAAATACTTTTTAATCTAAACTTTGATCATTTATATCTTTCTGGGTGTCTTTCCAATTTTCTGAAACCAGAAGAAACCTGGAACTATTTCTGCTATAATGAAAACTACAAACAAACTTCCTGTGGCTGCTTTCTGTTCACATTGCACCCAACAGGCTATAGCTTCATCCAGCCATCTGGAGCAAAGCAAGAGGTAAGTAAAATGATACTAACGCTCGATGTCGCTAAAAATGTAGGAGCCAATGAAGGAGAACAGCAGCACTGAGATGGGCAGGGCGCAGTCCGACAGCACTTCCCTCACTTTGGCATGCAGGAACGGACTGGGAGATGGAGACAGAGAGAGAAAGGACAGTGGAGTGAGCAAGGAGAGACAAATAATGGAGGAATACAATTACTGTGGACAAGACAAGGACAATGGCTGCAATCCTGACACCGCTTAAGTACCTTACTCCGCCTCTTGCTTACACAATTGAATCCAGCTTTGAGGTTGATTTGATTACAGAGAGCAATCAGTAGTTAGAATATTAATGCTTATTAAATCACAGGCTGGAACTGAAGATCTGACAGAAAAGTGAGTTTAGCAAGTTCTGTCTGGAAAGTTACAATCCTTAGAGGCTAGGTCCCACTCTGCAGCATCCATCCCAGCAAGGCAGCGGTCCCAGCCAAACGTGATTTAAAGTTCTCCAGTGATTAATCTTTCAGGTGCCTCAGAATATTAATGCAGAATGTACCTTCTTTTGAACTGGTAGAGGGTATAGCCCATCCATAATGTCCCGAGCATCAGCAGGAGGCAAAGGACGGGCCTTTCTCGAGTGCACTGGATGAAAGATTCAGGCAGAGCATTGAACACCGACCCGACCATCACCTCACTCCTGTTTCCTCCCTGCAGGTCTCCAACCTGAGGAAGGTCCGCTATGCTCCTGTTTTCCAGACCTGGAGCGTGGTAGTACCTCTGAAAGACTGAAACCAGAATCACAGTGGTCAAAACAAACCAACAAAAAATAAAACACAAATTTTCGTAAGTTTTTCTTTTTCTTAGGTAAATTGAAAAGCATTCAAACTCTGTTGAACCCTTTCCAATTTTATTATTGTACAACCAAAAGCTTTGGTTTATTTTATGTGACAGATTGGACGGACAGCTTTGAGCATTTGAAATCCAAAATCTTTGTAGGCTCTGCCTAACTTCGTTATAACTCCACTGTGTTTTCCTGCTGCCACAAGTTTTATCAAAGTGATGGTGAGTTCAGGGTCTGTTTTCAGTGCCGAGAAGAATGTTGTCCAGCCACCTGCCGATAAACTTACACCAACTCATGAAATACGCAACAAGCTAGCAATTAAGGATATATTAGCAGCTTGTTACTGGTAGCCTCAACCATGTCACAGAAAGCAAGATGCCAATGTGTGAATCAATCTTTTGGCTGACAGAAAAACCACGTGAAAAAAAACCCCCAAAACAAAACAAAAAAACAACAACCCCTTTTTAAGTTTATTTAAGGCCAACTTTATTATATATATAATTTTAACACATTAACAGTCTGACTTTAGATACATGAATTTGAGACTTTAAAGATGCAGAGACACCCTGCTCTGTATTTCAGTCTGAAAAACAGAAGGCAGTACAAAACTATAGGAAAATCTAGAAGCAAGAGCAAAGCATTAATGCAAAGTTAGAGAGCTGATTTTATTCATGCTCTTTTGTCTGTGAATTAGCCATAAATAGCGACTGAATATAAATGTTTTTTGCATTAAATAGAAAAAAAATGCTAAGTAATACGCAGCAGATTTGTAAAGATCCATCTGCAGATGGCTAAAACAAAGAACAATGTCACTAGGAAAAAGGACTGGACAGCTTTTAATTAAAATGACTAATTGATTAGCTGGAGAGATCTTGGCACCCTCGGTCAACGAAGGATTCCTCAGGCATAATTAGCAAGTAGCTCCAGCAAATAACATTATTAAAATGGCACCAGTAGCACAGTATGCAGAATATGTCGCAGTTATCTTTTTATGACTCCATTTGTGTTAGAAAACTTTTGCCTGCTTTAAATCGGAAATTTGCTTGTGATAACAGTAAAAGCTGAGATGGATGCAGAGTCTTAATTATCAGTCAAAATATGGAAGAAGTATAAGCAGTCACAGACTGCAGTGTTGCAGAAAAACAAAAAAAAGTGACTGCCTGCGTTACTTACTTTTGACTGTTCCTTTGACAGCATCAACTACAAATGCAATGGAGATGAACAGGGCAATGACCTCTTCTGTTGACCTGGAAAACACATTGGACGTTGTTGCTTAGCTACAAGTAAATGTTAAAACACAGAATAAAAGTAGCATTTTTGTCATTCTATTTCAAACAATACAAGGACGTTCAACTTAATAAAATAATATTTTAATGAACTTTTAATGCAGTGTTGTCGTTTTAAAATCATAAAAGCTCTAGATCTACCTGTTGCTGTTCTGCCTTTCATTTTATTTCATACATGTAAACAAAATATTTTGTGCCTATGATCATAAAACATGGCACATTATTTTTGATATACCTGATATGATTTTCTAGCTACATGTTTGGTTTGAAATCATTACTGCATCTGGAATCAAAGTAGACAGACCACATTAGTGAAAGAGGAAGCTGTGTTTGTACGACCTTCAGTTATTTGGATGATTTCAGTGTGGGCGGGTGGATGTGTGTGTGTTTGTGTGTATGAAGAGTGGTTGCCTATGTGTGGAATAGTTATGAGTGAGAATTTGTCACCTAAAGGTGTGAAGCTGTAGAACGGTGGGATGGGCAGAAACTGTGGTCAAAAGCAGCAGAGGATAAGTAGCCTCAGACCCTGAAGACATATGGCAAAGACTCCACCTAATCTGGCACTGCTACCCTGTCTTCCAGTGCTGGTCAATACGAGACTATCAGGCTCCCACACAAGACACAAAGTGTTTCCAGTGCTGAAGAGGAAAATCTACCAGGTATGGTGGTGAGGGATCTTTTGATGCCTCATCACTGCCTAGTTTTTCACTGCCTAGTTCAAGCCACAGTCACCCTGACACATCCCTGAGGGTCTTTGGGCTTCATCACAACTTAAATCCAATTGACAAGTTCCAACCACCTTGATTACCAGACTGGCCTCTAAGCCTGACAGATACCTTCCACCCAAAAAATGGGCGCCTTGCCGCCAGGAGCCAGCCTGTTAAAAACCAGACACTAGTCCTTCACACAGAAGGTCTTGGCTCTCGACTATTGAGAAACGATTGGAAGCCAGCTGCAGGCTAGCTGGAGGCTAGCAATTGTTTCTCAATAGTCTTGCTAGCCTCCAACTGATTGGATAAAGTTTTAATCTTTACCCAATCACTAACGTTTCCCCATGATGTATATACTGTACCAGTTTGGTGCTGTGAAGCTTACCAGAAATTGCCTTTGCTACAAACATCCATCCTCCACTGTGAAGAGGGAAGTGTTTATTTGAACAAAGCAGCTGTTAATATTAATTCATTATTTAGAAGCATGGCCAACACGGACTGAATGGTTTTACTTACTTCCTCTTTTGCCATTTCTAGACAGACTACAATTCTAAAACAGCGCAGAAAATTTATTTCATTGCTCAACTTCTTCCTCTGTTCGCTGATTGGGTCGATAGAAATTCTACAGGAGTGAAGAGGAGAAAACCCATCCTATGCTGTAAGCGAGATTTTATTAGAGTAGATTAGCTGCAGGAAGTCAAGAGTCAGATAAGCCAAAAGCCAGAACAGACCCCAAGCTGCCCAGAGCAGTCCTACAGCAGGAGAATTCAAGAACCAGAACTTCCCAGTCTCTTCCACTCCCACTGACTGAGATCTGAAAACTTTGTGTTGTACTTTGTTCCCATTTATTTTGGTTGTGATCCCCATTTGAGCTTCAAAAACAGTAAAAGTAGGAAAAGTCATCCAGTAATAACAACCAAGTGACCTCCTGCTGATGGATATTGTTCTGTAAAGTCAGATAATTATATTTTCTAACAAGAATCATCCTGCAGGGTGTGAATGGTGCAAAACAGCAGATGGTACTTTTTTATTGTCAGATCGCAGAGGCAGCAGCCAAAGCAGAGAGACCCAGTCTTCCCTCTCCCCAGCCACTTGGGCCAGCTCCTGTGGGGGAATCCCAAGGCATTCCCAGGCCAGCCGAGAAACACAGTCCCTCCAGCGTGTCCTGGGTTTTCCTCTGGATGTCCTCCCAGTGGGATGTGCCAAGAACACCTCACCAGGGAGAGCTCTACCCCTGAGTCCTTCCTGGATGACCGAACCTCTCACCCCGTCTCTAAGGAACAACCCTGACACCTTGCGGAGGAAACTCATTTCGGCTGCTCATTCTCTGCTCTGATCTCATTCTGTCTGTCGTTACCCAGAGCTCAAGACCATAGATGAGAACAGAAACGTAGAACGACCGACAAATCAAGAGCTATGCTTTTAGTAACCAAAATAAGAATCTAATAGAAAACAACCAAAACTGTAAAGGTAAAAAATGGCAACTGAGCAACATAACCATCAAAGTTGGATGTTTTTGGCTGCAATTCAAACATCTGAAATTCTAACAGAAACATTAGAATTTGCATTTCTTATACTCACAAATAAAAACTTATGAGCCATTCCTACTCACAGAATCCACATTTTTTTGCGAAATGCAAATAGGTCTTTGAATTTGTAAAACCTAATACTGACAAAAAAGAACAAAAAAAAACAAACAAACAAAAAAAACCCAAAACAAAACAAGAACGAGCTTGTTAGCAAGATCCACCATGCTGTCGACTTTTAATATTATAGATTTTGTCAGCAGCAGTTACAGGTCGGTGGAGTTGGGACCAATGTGACCCGTTAGGAAAACAATCCCAATAAACCAAGATAAATGTAAACGCAAATATAAGTGGTACCTTTTAAAGAGCTTCATCAGCAGACTGACGTTGAAGATCCCTCCCAAGATGAGGAAGAGGCAGTTCCACAAACCGATGCAGGCATAAAAAGCTGGGAAATCCAAGTTGTAGTCATCACAGATTCCTCGGATCACTACAATCCACAAGACCAAAAACATACATACTTGTATGTAAATATAAAACATCTGAATGACACAATGGGAATTATTTAAGAGGGCAGTATTATGTGTTGTCCAGCCACATAGTGCCATTTTATATTGGAGTCAAATAACTATGTTAACTTCAATTGGTATAAAAATGCTGCACATGCCAAATATGACATAAAATAAATTTTACTTTGTAATTGAAATTGGGCCTCTGTCTCTTCAAAAACTCCTGCTCTTTCTGAAACCTCGCCTTAAGGAAGTCGTCACAACATGGCTCCTCTATTAACCCTTCAGGAACATTTTTACCAGTGTAACATTGAGAAGTAGTGGGGGAGAGCTGCTCTGTGAGGCAGAAGCTTGGAAACTGCAGCTCAGAGGAGGAGCTTTGTCTCCAAGGCGGGGCTAGGTCCAGCCAGGCATTTTTGAATGGTTGAATGGTTGCCATGGAGATTCAAGGATTTCTCAAACATGCATGAAAGAATCCAAGCAACACTCTAGGTATGTTTTTTAAGAGGGAATAACATTATAACATAATATGAGACTCAAAATATAAATTTTACACAATACTGCCCCTTTAATGTGTGCATATAAGGAATAAATGCTTACAGTGCCTTGCAAAAGTATTAATGAACCCTTTTATATGTTCTCATATTACAAACTAAACTTTTTGTTTTGTTGTACAAAGTAGTGTATAACTGTAAAGTGGAAGGAACAACATAAAGATGGTCTTGTGTCCACACACGTCTAGTGGGAAACTTTATACCTGACTCCAAGAGCCTTTCTCTAAATTATGCCGTTTCTTCTCAATTTTCTTCTCCGAAACTCAGATTTGTAGAAGGCACTCTTACGAGGATATAAGCAATCAGATCAAACCTGTCAGTCTGAGTAAAGAAAACATGACACGTCGATGCACCGATCGGAATATTCGGATCGGATTCGGCTCCATCGGAATGAATTTGTAATCGTGTCAGTGTCATTTCCCAAAACCACTGCGGGAAGAAAATAAAAAAAATAAAAGCCATAAAAGCGCACACGGGGTCAGTCCGAGCCCTCAGAGACAGCAGGAGGCGTAATTAGGGAGTGCAGTAATTCCTGGAGCATTATTAGAACCTGGTGCTGGTCCGTTCTGGAACCAACACCACTGTTTGTTCGGTTTTACATTCAGCAGAAACTGAGGAACAGCTTCTTCTTCTGTGTTTTTTTAGGGAAACTTTACAACTTTGCGCATGTCAGTACTTCTATTCTAAACAAAACTTGGTGCACAATCATATTAAATAATTCAGTATCCATATAAACCATACATTCGGATTATTTAATCCCATCAGATCAAGGTATTTCGTATTTCCTATGTGGTTTTTCTTATTAATGTTTTGCTTGTTTGTTTTGGTGGACGGCCGTGTCTCTGCAGCTCTGCCGTACTCTGTTGATCTTCAAACGATACATCGAACAATGATCCCTAACATTTTTTAAGTTGGGTGACATCATAATTGCACCTTGCCTTAAACTTCTGTCCAGCTTTCTGCCTGAGCTGTCTGCAGTGTTCCTTGGTCTTCATTATGTTGTTTGTTTTCTAATGTTCTCTAACAAACCTCTGAGGCCTTCGCAGCGCAGCTGGCTCCATACCGAGAATAAATGAAAAACAAGTGAACTCAATTTACTAATTAGGCGACTTCTGAAGAGAAAATGAAAAAAACAAAAAACAAAACAACAAAAAAAATGAGGGGGCGAAGTACAAATGCACAAAGCACTTTTCACTTTTTACTTGTAGAAAACGTGCAGATATTTCTTCGACTTTGTTTGGTTTTTTTGGTGTTCGACGTTGAATCTCAGTTAAAACCGTTCAAATTTGTAGCATTACAAAATGTGGAAAATGCGGTGTGTATATTTTTGCAAGACACCGTGTGGAGGGGCGTGCAAAAGTGTTTTTTTGGGATTTTTTGTCTCCCTTAAAACAACTTCATTTAAAAACTGCAGTTTTAAATACCTGTGGTGTTTTTGACTAATATTTAAAAACATTCTCAAACGCTTTCGTATATGTGTGACAAACATGCAAAAAAAAAAAAAGACATCAGGAAAGGAGCAAACTCTTTTTTCAATTCAAAAACAATTTGAAAGAAGTTCAGTTGGTTAGAAGTGATTCAATCTCAGAGATTTTTCCAGACTCCAGTAATGAGAGCATTTATTACAGAAGCTCTCGGTAGCTTCATTGATCTCAAACATGGATGCACAAAGAGTTAAAGAGAAACATGCATTTTAATTTACCTTGAAAAGGAAAAAAAAAAGAACTGTAATTAGTTTGTTAAAAACCATAATAATTTAGTTGTTATCTTGAGTCACAACTTTACAAACAAGCCTTTGTTCCGTTCAGAAAGCTGCTGGAAATATACTACAATTATCCCCATGAGAATGTTCTCTGCACAGTTCCAACCCATTTACTTCAAAGATCATCCCACCGCAAACCCGCCAAACAGCTTTGGTATTAAAACTAAATCTTGGCATCAAAGTCGTTGCTTTTCTTCATCTCTGCACTCTTTCGGAGTTTCCACCATTCAAGTTCATCTACATTCCTCCCAACAAAACAATGCTGTTGGGCAAAAAAACGTCCAGTAGTTTATGTGCTGCATTTTGTCTGAACTGAATAAAAGCTTTACTTGTTCCATTTTTTTCCTGAGCAAATCTGCGGCCCTGCAGGCACCTGAAACCAGCTGTTATGTAACATGGGCAAAAAACCCAAAACAAAACAAAACAAAACAAAAAAAACACATTCTGGTCCATCTACCCCCCTCTGTGGCAACTATTCAACATTTGGACTTTTTTTTTCTGGGAGAAATATATTCTACATATTTCTTTTGACATCAAATTCAAACCAGATGTAAGCAACAACAGCCAGTAATCCATACATACAAAACAAATGAGTCCAGAGATGGAATTAAACAACAAAACATTGGAAAGACAAGTGGAATAAATGTCAAACACTTGAAGAAACTGGTGTGCGAGAAGACACAGAAAACCAAGAAATCAGCTGAAATCGGTCAGTATTCAGAAAGCACTCTGTGCACAGAATGATTTGATTGGGAAACAAGAAGTTCACAAAAAATCGTGTTTTTAGAGTTAAAAATACTGATAGGAGTCGTTACAGCTGCATTTAAACTTTAAAATGTTCTAGTGAGTGAAATGGGGAACATAAACCAGATTCAGAAAGGATACCAGTCCATCATATGGTACAGAATGTCTTAAAATTTCTGACAGAGGAGTCAAGAGTATATATCTGAAAAGACTCAACATCAGTGGCTTTTCTAACTTTCACTGCACAAGACTCCACTGCTGAAGATATTCTGAAGCTTTATTAAAGTTTGCTGCAGAAGATTTAAATAAGTGGTGAAATATTTGAGAAAGTACTCTGGTCAGATGCTAAACGTTTTGGATGTCAATACTCTCTAAATGTTCTGGGTTTTTCTTTGTAGTTTAGTTTTATTTTGTTGTCATTTTTTGTTTGTCTAATTCAGTTAGTTTTACTTGGCTTGCAGAGTGTGTTTGCTAGTTTTTAGTAGTTATTACTGGTTAAATATTTAGTTTAGTTGTTAGTTTTGGAGCAATTTTAGTTTTTTCATACTTTGGTTAATTTTTAGGTGTAGCTTTCAGAAAGGACAAAGTATTGTATTGTGATTATCAATTGGCTAATGAATACTGAACAGAAGATGCATTTTCAGAAAAAAATTATTCAATTATTGCTGACCATCAACTGACTCTGATGTTTTCTCCCAACTTTTGCTGTGACCATGGAATGCCATAATCTACAGCACTCCATGGATAAACTGGTTGTTTACTTCAGCGGTTTAAAAATCTATTTCACATCAGTTTGAACCATAAACACAAAAACAAAGGATATTATATATATAATTTTAGTATGTTTTATTGTTTTAGTTAATTTCATAAATGCACATTTGTTCCTGTTAGTGATAGTTTTTCCCTATTAATTAGTTTTTATTTAATTCACTTAAAAATGTTTTCAGCTTTTGAAGAGTTGTATATTAATCAGCCTATTTGTGCTTTGCTTTGCATGTGTGTTTTGTTTTATTTTCTCTCTCCCTCCCTGCATTAAATAACAAACATGTATATGCTGCTATGCACAGGTGCTTTTTATTTTTTTTTTGTCTCCCAAACTGGGAGGGAAAGTTTGTCCCTTCTCTTCCAGTCTTCTTTTTTTGTGAAAGAAATAAGAGGACAGCAAATGATCAGTGGACATTTCTGCTTTTTAAGCTGTAATTCTGACTATTGATTACCGAAAAAATAAAGAATTAAAAACAATATCATTCCATACAAGAGACATATTGACGTTAACATTACAAAACAAAAAGTGTCTACTGAGGTTCTTTAAGTGAACTTATTCCATTTCCCCAAATGACTATTTATGGACTTCATTGTGAGTGTGGATTACTTGGGTTATTGTCAAAATCTGCTATGAAATTAGTGTAAGTAATAATGTCAGGACTGTATCTTTGAAGCAAAGCGATGACTTAATTTACAACCTGTCTGCTTTAAAACTTCATTAACAATAACAGTTGAACATTGTTTTTCTTATTCTTTAAAGAGGAGATGAGCATGATAGTTTTTTTCTCCGACATTAGTTTTCTTCCACTTTTGATGCCATCTTTTTAGTGATTTTCCCACCATCTAAGACTCATCTGCTGTGTAAAACTCAGAGAGACGACTGCCTTGTTTTTGAGGTGAGCTGAATGAAACTAAAGGAAAGCTTACCGCTGATGAAGATGGCGAGGGGAGCAGTGGTGAGAGGGATAACTAAAGGGGAGCCAGCGAACAACGAGTAGATGACTCCGCCGATGCTCTGGCCAATGATAGTCTTCCGAACATCTGGGCAGAGAAGACACACGCACGCACGCACGAAAAGAAGACACAGGAAAAGGTTCTGATGAATAAACATGAATGGCCTTAAGGTTCTGCTGCACAGCTGAGCAGAAGCAGAAGGAAACTCATAATTCACTTTCTGCACCAGGAATGTTATTAGGCGAATTATCTGTTATTTTTACCCACAAATTAACTTGAGATACTTGCTTCATGTTCTTCCCGCTACAATAATAATAATAATAATAATAATAAAAGAAACTTTAAAAAGCACACACAATTCAATTTTAGGGGGATGATTAATGCAGGCTTTAGGTTTTTATAGTTAGAATACATCAAACAATAATACGTTCTCAACCAACAAAATCATGCAATGTGAAAAAGAAACTAAAACAAAAAACCCCCAAATTTTTCATTGACAGCACTTAAAAACACTACATATGATATTACTACGAGTTATTAGCAAGTTATGATACTTCATAAAACTCTTTGGCCTCTTTAGTTTCTGTTTCTGCTCCTGTATCAATCAATCAATCAATCAATCAATCAATCAATCACATTTTATTTGTATAGCACATTTCAGCAGCAAGGCATTTTAAAGTGCTTTATATCTGCTTTTCTGTAAAACATATTTCACTTCTAAAGTTAAAATATGTTTTAAGGTTAATGTTTTGGAAGGTTGCTTTAGGATCTTATAATAATAAACAAAAATTAACAAAACAAACAAGTAAAAGCCTTTTTGTAAAAGTCTCAAATTAATAAGTATGGCTCAAGAATGAAGCTTCCCATTTGAGATTTTTGATTTGGGAAAAATGAAAAACAAAAAAAAAAAAAAACTGCCAATCTGATCAACTATTGGTACTGGACCAGTTATTGGAGATTGTTATGGGATCAGATATATGGCAGGGATGTGACTACTGATCCATGTATCAATCTGTGGTATGAACAAAATTGTTTAATGTACATTGAAGAGACAGAATTATGTACAACTTTTTTGAGCTTTACATCAATGATATTCCTTCATCAAAAACATATCGCAAGTGTGCAAGTCTTACCTTTATTATTATTATTATTATTATTATTATTATTATTATTATTTGTTTAACTTTAGCTTTCCATCTACCTCAGAGCCTATCGGATGTTGAAATGTCAGAATGTTGGGAAAAATATTTACAATGTTAAAATTACACAGAAAGGTTAGTTAGCTAAAAACAGCTGAAAAATGTCACCATCGTGTTTTTGGCCTCGTTTGACTAAAATGGGAAACTACTGTTATGTTCTGACGTCTGCTGTGCGCCTGTCCAGCACAGCTGCCAGAGCCTGTGTTATTTCATTATTCTTTAAGACCTGCACAAAAGAAAAAGACTGGATGTCATCTGTATCGAGCAAATGAGCTGAAGTTGGTATCTGATTTGTTATTTCAGGATTTTTTTATGGAATCAAGACATTTTTATTGCAAAATTTTAAATGATTTTAAAAAATGCATATGTCGTAGCTTTACTCTATTTGTGAGTCCAAAATATTTTAAAGATATTTTTTGTTATTAAAACTGTCTTAGATCAACGCTGACCTGTTTATACACTACATAAATGTTGGCTGTGTTATAACCAGCTGGCCCTGCTACTCCTCAGTGGGAACTTTACTTTGTGGACTCGTGTTTGATAGAACATTAGAGTGTCTGCATGCCGGCTGCGTGCTCCTACCGATTTCGCCGCGGGTGCTCTCATCGTTGAGGGAGCCGAAAGCAATCGCAGGGAGGAGGATGGCGATGTAGAGGAAGATGGCTGTGGTCATGTACTTCAGCAGGGTTTTATTACTTCCAACTATACCTGAAGGGAGACAAACACAAACACATGAGTCATATGCATCTCATAATGAAGCGGAGGAGGCTCAGCACTTTAATTTAAAAACGACAGAAACGCTAGCAGAATCCATCGTTTAGATCCCCTGCAATAAGGAACCTCCAGAGAGAGTGTGTGCGTGTGTGTGTGTGTGTGTGTGTGTGTGTGTCAGAATATTCTACTGTGGCTTACACAACCGACTGCCCCTTTGAAAATCGGAGTGATGCGTTTTGCGTTTGTGTAATCCATCTCATTTTAGGAGCAGCCATATGAATGATGGATAACTCATGTTGGAATCAAACATTTTAATTGGCCTCTAATGTGATCGTTGCTTTCCGTGACCTTCGCAGGATGAACATTTGATCAAACTCGCATGTCAGGAACGCGTTGCTTTCTGTTGCAGCTTAAATAAAACAGAAATGCGTTGAGAGAGTAAAGGGCTGAGCTGCTTGTTGTGACTAACACATTATTTAGCGTGTGTATATGTGTGTGTGTGTGTGTGTGCGTGTGTGTGTGTGCGCGTGTGTCCTGGACCGGAGCCGCTTTCACACACGGTGGGTAAAGAGTCTGAGTTGATGACTCAGTGAAAGTACCTGCCTTCAGCGACTGCATCAGTAGGGTATAGGGAGATGCTGTGGTTGATGACCTGGGATATTATAATAATGTTGAACATAAAGAGGCATGTGGGAGACTTTAGTGTTATTTATACAAGATGCAAAACCCTGGATGAAACCCAAGGATAGCAAAGACCTACCTAAAAAAAAAAGCACACGTTGTACTAGAGCTAAGATTTTCAAATAGACACCACAGATTACTGTGGTGTCTATACTCAAATATAATGCTGATAGTGTAGCGGATAATTGGATGTTTCAGCAAAAATCTTTCACATGTGGAACCTAATTTGGCACAGATGTTCCCAGGGCTTTCCTTTTATGAAAATAAATAAATAAAATTAAATAAGATGAAAAAAATAAGACATTAGCCACTGAAACATTCATGATGACCACCATGATCACACAGGAAATTTATTGTGGCACTAAAACTGTCAATACTGATCACTGATGAATACTTTTGGTATGAACTAATTAATAATTGGACCCAGAATAAACATTTTAATTATTGATAATTTTTTAGTTTTTAACTTATTTTTGTTGATGGACAACATGAGAGTGTGTGGTGTCAAACCACACATATTTATATTTTTAACTTTAGAAATAATATACATCACCTTCCTAAAAGAATGCTCCAAGTCATTTTTTGCCCTTTATTTTTCTCCCCAAAATCATGTTTTGGCATAAAATGACTTTGGCCATTATTTTGGGAAGGAGGCAATATATTTTCTTGATTTTTTTTTTCCTTTATCTGGTGGCCATTTTTGAAAATGGCTGCCGTGGTTGTAATGGAGCATATACATTTGCACTATAATTAGCAGTTTATATTACTAGTGGTGGGCACACTAAACTGTTAAACACATCAAAAAATTTGCAAAAGCTAATGCTAACCATGAAGAGGACTGTTGCTCAGCTTGTAAAATGCTACATATTATAACTTTAAGGTTGTATGAATATGAAGACCAAAGGCGAAAACATATGATGTGAAATAGAGTTCCTGAAAGTTGTGAAAATAAGTAACATTTAGTTAGGTTTAAAAGGCTCACAGACAGCAGCCATTTTGAAAAATAGGTGTCATCCTGAAATTTAAGTGGCTAATGTGAAAAACATACAGCCTGAAGGTTGAGCATGCAAACTTTCATGCTTGTTTCCACATTTGACAGATTTGTATAGTAATATGCTGCACTATGCATAAGAAACCTGAAACCCCAAGAGATGTACCAAATATGCAAAACATTTCAGTACTCTCTCTCTGTGAGGCAAAGGGTGAAAGATAAATGAGGCGCTGCCAGCGGCACCCCGGTGGGGCAAAGCAACACAAATGACTCACTTTCACTACAAGTCCAGGTCCAGCTTACCATCTGTGAAGTCAGAAGGGTAGAAAGGCAGTCTGCGACGCAAGTCCTCATAAATCCCTCGGCCGGCTTTGAAGAAATCTTTACACTGTGGAGAGAAAGGAAAAGGTTAGGTTTTCCTCAAGGAAACGTCTCTCGCAGAGGAAAAGCCAGGACTGTGTCTTCAATGTTAAATTGAAAAACAGTTATGCAAGTTACAGTACCTTGCAAACATCATGCCCGTTGGAGTTTTTCACATTTTATTGTGCTATAACTACAAACATGTTTGTGTTTTATTAGAATTGATGTTGTAGGTCAGCACGGTAACTCATCATTGCTAAGAGGAAGTAAAAAAATAAAAATAAATCAATACAAGCTTTCCAGCAGATTAAAATTTCAGCATTTCTGTTAAGCCCACTTTATACTAATACCCTCAAATAAATTCCAGCACAAACAAATGCCTTTGGAAGTTATCTAATTAATACATCAAGTCTGAGGGATTGTTTATGCAGGGCCATTCTGTGAAGGTCTCAGAGGTTTGATGGAGAACATTAGAGAACAAAGAGCAGCAAAAAGACTGAATGTAGCACACAGGAATGTGACGCTGTTAATGATGGACTATGTTAGAAATTAATATCCTGAATTAGATTGTCTCAAGGAACACTGAAATCTATCATACATATTCAAAAACTATGTCACTATGGAAACCTACAAATACTTTCTACTACGGATTTGGCTAGTTGGAAAATAACAATAGCCATTGCTAATGACTTCTTATCAACAAAAATATGTCTGACAGAATGTTGATAATTTCACTGAACTCTGACCCAGAAAAACATGCCATTCTGGGGGTTGTAGGCAGAAGAAAGGCTTTAGCCGCGCAACCATTCATAGCTCAAACTCCCAGCTATGAATGGTTGGCAGCGTAGTTAGCTAGCACAGTCGGTTGGTTAGCTAGCAACAACCTACTGAGTGACATAATCAGTAGCAGTCTCATCTTGCCCCCCAGGTGTGCTTCACTCCTCGTAGGCCCACATGTACGTACATGACGAGTATTTGAGGTGGACTCAATGCAGATGTTTGTTGTCCTTGGTAACACACAGATTCACGTGGTAAACTGTTAGACAGGAAACGGTGTTCACATTAAACTGTTCTGTTTGTGCGACACAGAGATGATAAAGTTGGGAGTCAGTGCAACCAGTCGCAAGAACGCCTAGCATGACTGCCTCTATGTGCAGCACTGACAGTTGTGTGGTGGAGAAAAAAAAACACTAGGCTAGCCATCCAACTAGCTCATCAATTCATTCAGATTGTGAGAAATGAAGGAATATGCCACAAGGAATGTAGGCAATCTGTAAACTTGACTATGAAATCTCTATGGTCCACGGACAGAATACGTGCAGTGTATGTGACTATTTGGGAGGAGTTTCATGTTCAAAGAACAAGGAGGAGTGAAAGGAGGAAATGAGTCCAGCAGCTCCAGATGAAATTGCAGTTAAGAGGAAAGATCAAGTCACCAGTTTGGCAGGATTTTAGATATTTAAAACAAAAAACTAATCAATAATTAGTTATTAGAGGCTGCAAAAGAAAGAGGTGGGTTTCATACAACTGGCTTCAAATTCTTGAAAGCATTTAGTATTTTCCTTCTATTTCACATTTATGGTGAATAACTGAAGTGAAAAAGTTGTAGTTAAAATGTATCAAGTAAAATTGCAATAACATACACTGAGGTGATGTAAAAATCTAATAATACTCCAATGTCAGCTTCCTTTAAGCATTTATTATTTGGTTTAGTGATGATGTTCCTCATAGATCTACAAACAACTTTGTTCTACCATCGTCATAATTCATTTAAAGGCATTTCTTAACTATGTTATTTGAAATCTCAAGATATCTTTAAGACATTTAGTGTCACCTAAAATTACAGGAACTTTAAAATGTTTTCAAAGGGCAATTATTAAAAAAAAAAAAACATCAAACACTGATAAAATGTGTCTCACAAGGAGCGCCCCAGGAGACAAAGTTTCTTCTACTGCAGAGGAGTAGTTCATTAGAGTTACAAGCCTCAGAAATGACCAATTAACAGCACCTCAGATTAGAGCCTTTAGGTATTTGACATGTCATAACATTAGCTCGAAGAAAACTCTTATTAATTAAGTCTACATGGTGGGGAAAAAAAGCAAAGAGGGAGACTTGGAAGAAAACTAAAAAGTTCTGGTGTGTTTGGACATCCACTCAACATCTTTTTTTTTCTTTTTTGCTAAATGGAGGGTATCTAGATGTCGTTAACCAGGATAGAGCTTTAACAAGGCAGTGACGTAAACATGTGCATTTGTTCACATGGGTTTGTCTGTGTGTGGTGGACTATATGTGTGTATTCAGCTTGGCTTCTCCAAGTATGTTGGCAACATTAAAAATAACCATGAAATTAAGTGCATTTTGTTGAACATTTCATCACGTCGTTTAAAAGTGCGTGCCACTTTGTATCCCTTCTTTTTCTAAGCAATTTAAGCGTTTTGGAATGATGGGAGTCAAATTCACATTTGTTTTATTGCCTCAAGATGGGCTGTGTTAGGTTGATGCGTCTTGTTCAGTTATTTTTTTCCCCCCAAACTTCATGATTTGAACTTTGGGAAACTTCAGATCATCTATAGCTGATGCCCCTTAAATCATCTAAAGCTGCGAAATTTGACATTTCAAAAATTAATTTGCTTAACGTAAACACTCATGTAAAAAAAAAAAAATCTTGTTTTTCGATTTTTGCCCTATCAAAATTGGTTTAGTTTGCAAAACTAAAATGGAAATACATTTTTGACCTCACACTAGTCACAAGAGCATTATTTAATCAAAACTGTGTTTTTCGACATTAACGCAACACTGACAAAGTTATGTGCAGATTTGTAATGAAACATGCCTTATGTCTGCCCTCAAGGGATCAAATAATTAATCCCTTATCAGTTGCCATCAGTTGCCAGTGATGGCAAATGATAAAGTTGCCATCACTTGTTGCTGCTCCAGGCATTCAGCATGCTGAGGTGAGTGAATATTTATCAGGATATATAGAGTGTCTGCTGAGTTTAAATATAAATATATATATATCAAGTTATGTCATTGATATGACTTAGATGTGCATGAAACTGAAAGGCACTACTTTAGTATATTGGATGTACAGATTATTATCAAACTTAAAGATGAAAACTAACATAGTTGAACCAGGACTTTATATTTGCTGCTTGTTTTGGGGGGTTGTGTTTCAAAAGCCAGAAAAGAAGATGAAAAATACATTTCCCCTAAATGTTTTGTTGAATGTTGTGGTTTAATTGCGCATTAAGTGGTTCAATAGACATTGAAAATCACAAATTCTAAGAAGGTGTCATAACAGGTAGTTTGTGATGCATGTCATAAACTACAGGCTAGTTTATGACACCTGTAGCCAATATGGCTGCCGTGTGTTTCAAAAGTTGTGAAAACTCAAAAATATTTGACTTTCTGAGTGACATCTCATTAAATCTTTCAGGTACCACATTGTACTAACTTTGTTTGTGAATATGTTCCTGGAGTATTTTAGAGAATGTTTTCAGCCCATTCTACGTTCACACCTCACAGTCAAATGGTAACGCAGCAGAAACCCATTGTCTTCCTATCCACAGGATTTCAGCCCAATCTCTTTGAAAATCAATACAACGTGACTCTCCCATGTGATGCTGCGAGGAACTGTTTGTGATTTGCCACTAGATAGTATACCAATCCCCCCGTTTGGGAAAAGGAGGGACACCTCTTTGTAGTGCTATATGTGCTGTAATTCCTTAGAATAAATGAGACAGTTTTTGTGTGAGGTTTCTCCCTCTACAGAGATTTTTTACAAAACAGTAAATTGACTTGGGGCCAAAATTTCATGATCTTGGAGCGGGCCTTTTTCTTGTTATTTTTAATATTGCATTTCCTTTGGATTTGAAAACATAAAATGAGCTAAATTAGCTAAAGTTAGTTAGCTTGTCATAATGAAGAGAGGTGACATGAGTGCTGCCAGCACTTTTGAAGACATTCTTCTACTTTCACCTCTCAGTTGTCTCCAACAGGGACAATGTGTCAGAGAAGTCGGTATCAGAGGTCAGATAAGAACCCTTCCTGATTTTGTACTCGCCAAACAATGCATCAAAGAACGATGCTGGAAATGCTTCAGTTATGAGGTTTTTACAAGTTTTAGGGGATGGGGGAAAAGAAATTCACATATTTATTTCAACTGACAAACATTTTAGTCAGTTTCTTTGTGACTTACATGGACAGAATTATGTATTCATAAAATGAATAACATTCTAAAGCACAATCAAGTACAACCTTCATTTGTTATAAAAATGCTTCATCTATCAAATATGACTTAAAAGAAATTTGACTTTGTGATTAAACGCCTTGAAATTGGGCCTCTGTCTCTGTGTGGCAGAAGCTTGGAGACCTTAGCTCTGGGGAGGAGCTTCATCCTCGAAGGCGGAGCTAGGTCCATCCAGGTGTTTTGTGCAGCTTAATGGCTGCCACTGGAGATTAAATAATTACTCAAACATGCACGAAAGAATCAAGCCAACACTCCAGGTTTGTTTGTGATGAAAGAATGACATTATAAGATTATGTAAAGCTCAAAAAAGTTGATTTTACATAACACTACCCCCATAAAACAATTGTAAGAACACTGAAGGCCAGAGGCTGAATCTAACTCTGGATGTTTTTAGCATTCTGTGCCCTAAATGTGGACCGTGATGGATTTTGATTCAAACTACCTATTTGATGACTCAGAAAAGACACTGGTAACTCCAAACGAGGCTCTCTCAGGGATGATTTAAGCCCCCCAATCTGAGTCATCTGCCTTAATGAGCTATCCCTCAAAAGTTCTGTAATCCAAAACAAGGTGAGTGAAGCGGCATGGTCACATTAAGGCGCGTGTTCAGAGAGATCTCTGTCCCCAGAACGATAAAAGATGACAGAGCGATGACGGCGGCAGTCCAGAATGGAGGACTTGGTGAATTTTTAGCGCGGTCAGAAAGGGAATTAGCTCGACGACAGCCACGTGATTCGACGGGGAGAGCGCTCCTTGAAAATATGAGCTTTCAGGTTGCACCAGCCACGGAGCAAATGTGAAGTCCTGATTGAGCTTATTAAGCAAATTATCCAATTAGCCAGAGTTTAATTTCCCTGTTAAGCATGACTTTACACAGTTAAGTGAAAGGAGGGGCGGAATTATGGGAGTAGGATAATCATTCCTGCCTCATTTGTCATCGTAAAAAGTTTTGATGGCATTTTGCAGAACGAAGCAATTTAGCTCGACGTGAAGAACATAAAAACAAACAGGATCAGCATTTTGCTCCCCTTTGTGTTTGCTGGTTTTATAAGGCCACGCATACTTACACGTGTGAGTGTGTGTCTTTGTGTGGGGCGGGGGCGGGGGATGATCACCGGCTTTTGGCTCATGTGTGATAAACATAAAGTCTCAGAGAGGGAATTACTGTCCACCTGTTTACCATTCGCTCTGAACGGTCAAAAGTGTGAGGCAATGGAAAGGAAAAGCATCAACAATTTGGCATTTATTTATTTATTTATTTTTTAAGTATGAGGAAGTGGTTTGCTGTGGGTGGTCTGATGTGAAGGAATGAGAAGGCAGTTTTCTGCTGACTTATTTTTTAACTATCGCTTTGCTGTTGATTCTACCTGCTCCAACTACTGCCATGGCTAAAATTTCCTCCCCCCCCCCAAACCTTTTTCTACCTTTATTTATTTAAAAAATCTCAGTGCCAATTTTTTTCTCTGAGTGGCACTGAGCCCTTTTAGACCTGGGATAAATACCTAGCAAAATCCTGAGCGACTAAAAAAAACAAGGAAGGACAAAAAAAAAAAAACGAGGGAAATGTCTAGGAGCCACGGCCTGTCAAGGTAACATTAGGAGGTGGTGTTGGTCCGTGGAATTGAATAAAACCCCTCTGGCGTGCGTGCGTTGGTGTGTGTGTGTGTGTTTGTGCGCGTGTGTGTGTGGGCGTTTGTGTAGTTAAGGGGAGGAGTGGATTCTGACAGGACTGAGATGTAAGGTCATTTACCCACTGAGGAGGCCTGACAGAAGTTGATGCTGATTGATTAGGAGGAGAGAAAAGACGAATGAGTAAAGCCAGTTGAGTGAGCAGGACAGGGTGACAGGTGGTATGAGAGGATGAGGCGCCGCTGGAAGAGCTTTAGGAAAAGTTGGAGCTGCAGTGGCTTGTAAAAGTGTTCACAGTGTTGCAGGCAGTGAACACTGGCTGCACTCATCTGTTCAGTCCGCTTTAATCCAACTCTGTCTAAAACATCTTGTTCATTTGATGAACTTTGGTCAGCCTAAATATCTAGATCTCAGTTCGATTAAAGTGAACTCTGAAACGGTTCGAATGCCTTTGTGAATGGTAAACACTCCAAAAGCAGGAAGTGGGCTGTAGTGCAGTACAAATGTGCGAATCTAGAAGAAATGACTCAAGAGAAATCCTTTTTCTGAAGATGGAAGTTGTGCTCAGTGTCTTCAGAGATTTCCCTGTTGTTTCCTTTAGTGGTTATGGTGCAGCAAGTGAGAGTGTGAACAGCTTTGGTTTGTTTGACTCGGTGCAATGTGAAAGCAAACCACAGCAGCTGAAAATGTAACAAATGTTTCAACTTTGGTCCCAATCGAACTGAGTCTACCGGACTATCAGGTGTGAAAACACCCTCAGAAGTCACCTTTACTTATTAATTAGGTGACTTCTGAAGTTAAAGAAAGGTTTGGGATCTCAGTGAGCACTGCTCAATCTGTCATATGAAAATGGAAAGTGTGTGGCAAACCTACCAAGGCATGGCAGTCTACCTGAAACTGACAAGTAGGGCAAGGAAAACATTAATCAGGGAAGCAGCCAGGAGCCAGGTGGTAAGGCTGAGGGAACTGCAGAGATCCACAGCACAAGCGGGAGCATCCGCTGACAGGATGAGAATTACTAATGGACTCCACAAATCTGGCCTTTTTGTAAAAGTGTCAAATAATACTGAGGAGAAAGATGTAAAGTACGCCGCACACGTAAACGATGGCGGAAACAGTAAACATGGAAGAATGTGCTCTGATCAGATGAACTTAAACTTTTTGACCTGCAAGCAAAATCACTAAATTTTACCAAGTATTTTTTGTCTAGTTTCTAGTGCGAATGTCTTTTGTGTAAATTTAAGTTTACCAACTTAAAATTAAAATTTCAGGAAGATATATGAGCTTGTTGCAAGTCAATAATTCCTTAATATTAATAAAAAGTACAAGTTCCATTGGCAAAATATTTCACTTAACACTGGAAAAATGTCTTGTTATAAGTTAAATCATTTTCCAATGGAACTAGTACTTTATATTAATATTAAGGAATTATTGACTTGAAACAAGCTCACATAACTTGCTAAAAAGTTATTTATTAATTATTTCAAGTGATCTAAGATATTTGCACTAGAAACCAGACATAAAAAATAATTGGGAACATTTTGTGCTTTTGCAGTGTAAAAGCAAAAAATGTATGTCTGATGAAAAACGCTAACACCAATCCCCACAAAACCGTCCCTGTGACAATGTTAGTGGCTCTAAGGATGACCCAAAACAGACATGGAGGACATATGTTAAATACAAAAATAAGGTTAAATAAGTGAACACAAACTTGAAAAGAAAATGCCCACAGACCAAAGGCTAGAGAAAAATACACAAACAGAACACTACTGAACACAGAAATAACTCAAATACAAAGTCAGATGAGCAGAAAGAAATAAACAGGTGAAAACAAGACATAAGAAGGACACAGAGCAGGCAGAACCAAAATAAAACAGGATACTGCAAAACGAGAATCAAGAGTCAAAGTCAAGATACATCAGAAACTCAAGTATCTCATCTAAATGCATTTATGTTTCCAGACACTCTGCATCCAAACTGAGTTTGAAAAAGAAATATTTAGTCCCTAGATGCTTAAAGCACTGAACTTTGTTTCTATAAAGTGTTCATTTTACTCTGAACACTCCTGGACATACTATTCATTGTCATTAATAATAGAACATCAGAGGCATCCATCACTTTGAGATGATGTATCGTATAAAATCCCAACAAAATACAATTAAGACTGTGGTTGTTGTGTGACAAAATGCTAAATAATTTGTGGTGTCTAAACACTTTAGCTAAACATGGGTTAGGGATTCAAGTTGTTGAAGAGGAAGCTGAAAAATAATAAACTTAAAGCAAAGAAGCAAACTAAAGATAGTAATTCATAATGTTGGAATACGATGCCACTACAAAATATGTGTGAATGCTACCCAAAATCCCATTTTCCCCCCCAATATTCATCTGCAGAAGCAACCAGAACAAGATATAGCTGCCACAGCGTTACTTATAATTAATTACATTTTACACGTATTTCAGAATCTCTTCAAAATCCAGAGGAATCCAGCTGGATTTGTAAAAAACATGCTAATATAAATGATATATGTATAGTTTCAAGAAATTCAATGTCAAGTAACATTTTCTTTACTTGAGAATATTTTTCTTAAAATAAAAATATATCTTGTACAAGTAAAATTGGCTTGTTTTAAGTAAAAATACACTAATTTTAAGATATTTGTAGGTTCATCTTGGTTAGATATTTTTTCTTGTTTTGGAAAACTCTTGACAAAATTTTCTTGTTCTGTTGGCAAGTAATTTTTCTTATTTTAAGAAAATTATACGCGATTTTTGTACTTTTTTTCCTTGTTTTTGAAAGGGGACGTTTTGCACCTTGAGAGGTTTGTGGCTGCGGGGGACCGTCTCCTTCTTCCCCAGAACGATGGGCTGCTGGTTGGCCGCTGTGAGCTGGTGCCTCTGGAACACCAAAGCCTCCTTAAACTCCTCCTGCGTCTTTGTCTCCAACAGCTTCTGCCTGAAGGAGATGTCAGAGAAAAGGGTGCCAAACGTCCTGCCCAGCTCCATCGCCGTCTTGGTGCTTTTCTACGAGAGACAGAAAAATGACAAACACTGATTGTGTCACACAGGCTATCATAGTGTTTTAAAGTCTGCTTCAATTATTATCAGAAAAAAGGGGATGTTTTTAAGACAGGGCCAGACTAAGATTTTTTTTAATTATCTCATAATATTAGCACAAAGACACAATATTGCCATTAGAAAATCATGGAATTAACAGAAAAAATTGCTTTAATGAGAGCAAAGTTTTCATAGAGTTATGACCAGTCTAGTCTGTGATTCTTTCTTCAAAATACTCAGCAGTTTGTACAATCCTACTACTGATGACAATTTGATGCTGATGTGTTAAAATATTAAGTATACCGTATTTATAAAACTGATACCAAAATATAACTTTCATGAAAGGCTCAACATTTCCCTTTTATTAAGTCAACTTTTTAGTGCAGAAGTTATAAAATTACTACTTCATTCTCTTATTGTTGCCACTTTATTCTGGTAGTTTATTCCTGCATCATCGAGACTATATTCTCATATTATTACAACTTTAATCTCAAAGTTAATATTTTTTGTTAGTCTGGCACATTATTTTTGTTGTACATTTTGTCTTCGATCTCGGAAAGCTCAATTTAAACAATTTTACTGTGATACATCAAACTCCAAATGGTTTGATTATGTCACAGCGCTCCATAAAATACTACTTTTTGTCATAAACCATTAAAAAAAATGAATTTAAATAGAAAAATAACGTGATTTGTTAGGTACTTAGTTGACGGGTCATCTCGTTAATTTATAAGTAAACTGATTAAACTGGTATTACAAATAAAAGAAATGTATTTCATTTGATTCTTTAAAAACTAGGAAAATATATCTCCATCTTAAAAGCCACCTGATGCCTTTAGCCATGTTGCTCTAAGTACATGTTTCACACAGGAAGAAGGCTGGTGGCCTCCATTTTCTGTGTCAGTAATGGCCGACTTCTGTTCCGACGCAATGACATTTTAAGCATTACTCAAACACCATTTGAAATAAACTTCGATGTTTCTGGATTGGAATTGCCTCCAATTAGTTAGCAAGTTTAGCCAAACGTAACTCAGAGTGCAGCGACTGTAGGAAGCCAAAAAAAGAAGCAACAACCTGAGCTGGCTGCGCAGCTCCAGCTTTTCCTTTATCCCTTCTGGAGGATAATGGGTCATGGGAGAATGAGGGAGGACTTGAGAGGCATCAACAGGAAACCAGAGACCATTTGTGCCCACATTTGTGCAGTGACCTGACTCCATCACAACTTGATGTGTGTGCCATGTTCCACACTGACAGGATACCAATGATGAACGGAGGACTCTGCATCAGTGATGCCTCATCCTCAGATGAGTCAAGGTGGACAGACGGCATTTGCCAGATGTTGACTTCTGTTTGATACTGGAGTTCTGAGACGTTATTTTTTGCCGTAGCATTAAGAATGCTTTTCTTCAGACTATTTTTGATTCGTTTGGATGCGACGAATAGAACGCACCGTCTGAATGAGAGCCTTCAGCCGACGTGTCTTAATTTATGCTAAGGCAATTTAAGATCAGATGAGAAACAAAGTGACAGGAAAGAGTTAAAAGTCATTTTGAATGTTTTGGTGCTTCATGCGAGATCAAATATCCAACAAAAGTGAAAATATGGAACCGTAGTGAGCCTCCCTGTGTGACCTTAAGTTCAACCTTGGTTGGATTATGCAGCAGAGCAATGATAAAAACCCAATTTGAAATGCTGTGGCATGACTTTAAACAGACTGCTCTTGTTTCAAAACTCACAATGTGGCTGATATAAAATAATTCTGCAATTCCATCAACGCAAATGTTTGATGGCAGGTTTTGCTCCCTGCAATAAAGGAAATCAACATTTATGTTGTATTATTCTACATTTTGTATCTGCATGTGACAAAAACAAAAATCAAAAACAGAAGGAACCTGTATGGGGAAAACAGTTTCATTAAACAGTACCAGTAATTTTGATCTTTTGGGCCATTTGACATCTACTGAATCTCTTAATCTTACAGCTTTTTGAGGCAATCCCTGTGCCAATTTTGTTTTTGCAAACTGTGAAAATCTCACATTTTGATAGAAAACTCTGTTACAGCACAGATCCCTAGAACCCGTTTCCAAATTTAAATCTACATGTTGAATTTTGAAGTGAAGTAAAGGTAAGCTCAAATGAAACATTACTGGCATCCCTATTTGTGCACTTTTTGCTGAACAGCAGGAAAATAAACAGACTTCAAAGTCTGCAAAACCTTTCTGAAGACTTTTGTGCATGTGTGTGTGTGTGTGTGTGTGTGTGTGTGTGTGCGTGCGCTTTCAGAGGTGTTTTTGGCTTCATGTTTTTTTGCTTCCTTAATAATCCCTCAAAGTATTTTCAGAAGCGCTTGTTGTTTTGAAACCCAGCTTCACCAACACAAACTGTTTTAGATGCATTCTCTTAAAGAAATCATGAACGAGGGAGTAACTCTCCTTTATAGGCACAACTCCCTTTGAAAAACTTGAGCTGCATACTTGGGCCGGTAGTGTGGGGAAATTGGGAGATCCTATGAAAAGAGATTTTGGAGGAAAGGAGGCAACTCCTGCTGCACTGCACGTGTGTGGTTTTGTTCTGTAACAACCCCAGTCATTTTTATGTAAAGTTCAGCTCAAGAGGAGTGTGTGTGGTCATTATTATGAAACTACATCTAACAGGGACAGATTGTTTATAAGTCATATAGAACAATTATACAAATCTGATCTGCCCTTTCACAGGGGGATTAGTGTATCATGTCAGTGTTGGCCTGTGGCTTACACCCCAACTTGATGTCACCTCTTGAGGCTAAAAATTGGATTGCTCTTTGCCAGCCATGTGGAGAGGACATTAGTACCATGACTGGATGTGTGACCGAGTACATAAACTTCTGTGTGGACAACACCGTCCCCACAAGAACAGTGAAATGATTCCTTAATAACAAGCTCTGCGTCACTAGTGAACTAAAGGAAATGTTGAATAAGAAAAAAACGAGCCTTCAGGGACTGAAGAGAAAACAGAAGCAGCTCAAAGTCAAAATTAAAGACATTTAATTTCCCTTTGTGATCAATAATCTGAATTTGAATAAAAATGAGATTTGGGACTTTTTTCAAGTCAGACTCGAGTTACAGTGTTACTTTTAGACCATGTGTAAAAAGAAAATTTGTGTGTGTAAGTGTTGTTTCTATGCAATCTGACCTGTATGTTGCAGTTGAGTGATTGTGATGAGCACAAACACCAGTCATCGAGGACACATTCTCACAGAACATGGATTTCTACAACATATTTTGTCGCGTCTTGTTCTGCCTCTTGTGCTCTCTAGACAAAAGTAACCCTGCAAACCCTCTGTCACAGCTCTGACTGTGAGAGTGAATCCCCGGCACAGAGTCTCCCACTGTGAAGAAAAACAGAACAGCCTTATCGAAAAGCAACAGTGGAAAAGGTCCAGAAAAACTGTCACCACATTGTTGTGGGAATGTTCAGCAGTCGTGTGGTGAATGGCTTAAGACGACGCTGTATAAAAGAGGCTGGGACTAAATGTTTTGAGGGGTCGATTTTTAAGCTTCTGTGTGTATTTACCAATGTTTCACAGACATGTGACTGTCTACCATTTATTTTTAACCCTTCAAAACTTATTCTGATTAAATTGTAACTGGAGCTGCCTTCCTGAATCAAATGCTTACAAATCACCTTTGAGTTATAAAGCCAAACTATCTACAAATTATATTAATAGTAATATTAATACAAAAAATATTAACACATGAAGATGAATAAAAATGTGGGGGAGTGGAGAATAAGCAACACTATTATCAACAGAACAAAAGTTTAAAAATATTTTATGAAAATACAATTCAAACCACGTAAAGTGCATTTATAAAATACATTTAATAAAAAGACACATGTGCCTTTTTTCTCACTGTGAAGTTAAATCACACTAAACTTCTCTTGTTTAAGGTAAGTTAAAATGAACAAAATAATTTTCTATTCACTAAATAGCACATTAATAAGAGGATATAAAACATTGTTTTAAAAATTGATATTCCTTTTATATTGTTTTATTATCTTTTGACAGATGTCAATCTCATTTCCTAACAAACTTCTGAGTTGAATTCTAAAAACTGAAAGTTGAATACGAATACTTGGCCTTAACTGATTATGCAAAGCTGTAATTGGGATGAAGGTCATTCTGCAGAGTACTGACTCAGGGGCGAATCAATATAAGTACATGCCACACTTTTCAGTTTTTATTTGTACCATAATTAATTTTGAGAACCCTGCATCTTTTTCCATGAGCTTCACTATTATGATGGCCCCTAGATGCTATAAAATAATTAGATTTTACCCCAGAAAATATGTTGAAGGTTGTGGTGGTAACACCTCAAAACGTTAACGTTTCTAGAGGATATTCACACTGTTTTGAAACCATACATAAAACCAAGTAATGAAATAATAATAATTTTAAAAAAATCTAAAAGTTCTTGAATGCTAAATATATTTACCATGGGCAATTAAGCAAAAAAAAAAAAAAAGAAAAAAAAAAGGAAAAAACTTCTCTGAGGCTTGTTGCCTGACTAGTGATGGAAAATGCTCCACCAAAACGGATACAGATTAACATACTGTACATTCACCAAGCAGAGGAATTCCCATTATTATTATCATCGTGCCCCTTCAAAAATGTTCTCTTGCAGAGGAAGTCACCATAAAGCATAATTGAGGCATAATAGGTCTTCGTGTTTACTTGGGGCTCAGAATAATGTCTCTCAGAATGCCATTAGTGGCTTTGATTGCTGCCTCTAAGACTGGCGAGGAGAGTGCTGCAGGAACTACAAAAAGGAACAAAAATAAATAAGGGTTGGTGTGGGAAAATGAGATAGAGACCAGAGACGCAAACAAACTGAAAATATATTATAGTTAACTGAGGCATCTCTGATTGCAGGCTAGCTCCTCTCCCCTCCCCTCAATACATGACAATACTGGTGAAACTGGTGTTCTCGTCGGTTTGGGCAAATAAAATATTCGAGGACAGAATGAGACAAAAAAATCTTGTTTTTCTAGCAATAAAAGGCAGATATTGGGAGGTGGCTTTCTTGCTGGAATGGGGCAACACTCAGCCTTCTGAAGACAGGGGAGTGATGTGTAACTGTGAATGCATTTATCCAGGTATGTATTTTGCTAAAAGCTCGAGATGGAGCAGAAAGGAACAGAAAGGTTGAACTGTTTTATGGCTGCCAGAAATACTTCACATTTTGATGGAACAAAAGGAGATTCTACAATAAAAAAAATACAAAAATGTAAGAAACAATCGTTATCTAAACCCCCCCCCCACCAATAAATATTTAGATGAAAACTTTAATCATAATATCAAAATAAACTGACTTGTAATAAGCTGCAGATGAGACTTAGATTTTCTTTCACTAATAGCTTTCTTTCTACCACCACATTTGTCGAGAGGTAGATGACCTTGTCAGAACAGGTTTTGTGGTTTTGTCGTAGAATTTAAGTTTTTGAATGACAGTGGTTATGTTTAAAGGTTGGGATATCGTTTTAAAGACCATCTCTGCTTTTAACTTCTCCAAAGCTTCCTCCCAGAAACTTCCAGCATGTTCCTTAGTCTCCATGATGCTGTTTGAGCAAATATTGATAATAGCACTCACTTAAAGTGCATTCCTACCTGCCCTGTTTAGTTTGCTTGCATAGAAAAACTGATTCGTTTGGTGAGGTGTGAAGTGAACTCTGGTCCGCCTAAAAACCTAGGTCTGGTTTGATTGAACTGTGGAGCATTTCGGAAGTATGTTTGAATGCCAAATGGACCGGCGACCACTCCAAATAGGAAGTGGGCTAAAGCGCAGGATATTCTGGGTAAATTTAACCAAACAAAACGTGTGAGTCTAGCACTAGCAGGAGAAATTGCTTGCGATCTTTTACCAAAGACAAAGGAGAAATCCTACAACCGCTAAAATCAGACGCCACTCCATTTTTGTTTACATTTCATGAGGAATGAAGTTGCACTCAGTGTCTTCTTCAGAGGTTTTCATGTCATTTCCTCCAGTAGTTGTTGGTGCAGCGCCACCACAGGCGAGGAGGGGAATAATTTTACAATTTTGGTTCCCAATCCATCAGAGTCTACCAAACTGTCAGGGGTGAAAACATCTCTAAACTTTAATGTGAGAAATTAAATGATCCAAAAATGTTGAGGATGGTTGAAATAGTCAGCCCAACCAGGAAATATGATAAACTACTAACCTGCTTATTGGCAGAAATAGGAAGACTTCAAAAGCTGTGACCTGTGGTCTGGTCACTGGACAAAATGTGCCAATGTTTGATTACATTTTTTGTTTAGGTAACGGAGGGAAAGGAAAAGTAGTAGCCAGTACAATGTTTGAGTTCCTGTTAGATAAACCAGGCTTGTTTAGGGGCTAATGTCTATCATGTTAGGTAATCATTCTTACCTTCTATTTCGAAACAGTTTATCCAAATCTTTAGCTTGTTTTAGATGTTTCCTTTTGGCTAATCTGCCACTGATAGGCGGAGCTGTTTTCTGGTATATACATTTAGTTCTCTAGTTGTAACACGTTCCTCTTTCCCACATTAAGAATAAACAAAGATACAAAGTGAGAGCTGTGTATTGTATATTTTTGAATGTTCTCCTGAACCATCTTGTTGGTTGGACTCTGGGGTTTTCCAGACTGACTTTCCTCCTTGAGATACATTCACATGTAGGTTGGATTTCTTTACTAATGACATATTTTTGAGAAGCAGTTGGTGGTGCTGTGTTTGTTAGGTTTGTCCAAATAAAGGCAGATGAATACATTGACCTGTAACAATTTTTTTTCCCTTTAGATTTTACTGTTTTGTTTTTGTAGAAAAGCTTTTTGCTTTCTCTTCACTATTATGTTTGAATTTGTGTTGATCGATGATATAAAATTCCAATGAACTTAAGTGGCATGAATATTTTTGCAAGTCACTGTAAATATTGACTACCTGATGTTGGCATTTTTAATTATTTAATTTAAAAAAATCAGTGATCAAAATGGCTGGCATTACAAAACTGGGAAATCTTACACATAAATCACAATCATTAACTATAAATAACATGAAAAAAAAAAGATAAGTAAAGACAATTAGGAATCACAAACGATAAAATGTAAATCTTGCTGCAGGTGTTACCATTTTGGACGGGGCGAGTATCAGGATGACATAGCGGACCTCGCAGCAGTTCTCCCCCCAGTTTTGCGGCCTTTCCAGACGAGAGATACACACATGACGCCTCTGGAGATGTTTGACGTTGCAGCTGCAGAGAGTGGAAGAAGGAGGAGGTTTTTTTTTTTTTTTTTTTTTTTAAAAATTCCAGGGGCTCGCCCCCCCAGGGGGGCCCTTTTTTTCCAAAAATTAACCCCTTTTTGTGGGG